ATAATCAATGAATTCAAGGAAATTTAATATTATGTTATAACTATTCATTTCTACATTTTTAAAACATCAGCAAGACTATTTCTTTCTTTTGGTTGATTCATTCATTAATTCCCAATTTCATTGCTTTACTGAATCATTTAATTGTATTAATAAAATATGCGTACAATTGTTTCCTATATTTCTCTACTTTCAAACTCATACCAATATGATAGTATATTAATTCAAATATCTTCAGAAATTCTTTAGAGTTATTATTAGATTTCTGAAATAGTGCTATCAAACCACTGTAAAGTTTGAACATCAGGTTTTAAAATAATTCAGGTTATCCATTTGTAGGATTTTATTTTCTAATACACGAAGGTGATAAAACCTTTTTCCTCTCATCTTAATAACTATCCTATAAACAAAAGAGAAAAAAAAACACCTAAAATCCCTCATTCTAGAGGCTGAAATACTTAAAATAGTTCTTTCATTTTCTAAGTACTATACCTCCAAGAAGGTACTGAACAAATCAAGTCTGTGTTCTTGCTCCTTTGACCACATTTTTCTCAACTTTAAACAAAGTACGATTCAAATTCTAATGGTAGAACCAGGCAAGAGAGCCATTTGTTTATGGGTGCATTGGGCAGTGCTGCAACTTCAGGAGGGTAAAGAAAAAGCTGGTGGTGTGGAGGACAGTCCCAGCATCAGCTCTTGGAACGTGAATGAGGTTGTCATGTCAGGATGGCTTCATGTGGCAGGTGATCTAAGATAAGTTTTGGAGGCCAGTGAAGGAGGAAGACTAGAGTGGAAAAAGACTAGAGAAGACTCTGAGTTTTTCATGTTGGCAGAATAGGATCCTCAGTGTTGAGTGGGATTCTTGAGTTACTGGGAAAATACATAAATGATTTTGTAAATTCTCAGTAAAACATGAACATGCAAACCTTGCTCTCTGCAGATTTCCCAAATGTATAATTTCTCACCATTTTTAAAAAATTTTACTTAAGAATCCCAGCTCAAGTACCTTATCCTTCTGCTTCCAATTCTTACCTTGCCACAACTATCTCCCAAATTTATGAACTCCTCTCTTTAAACTTGTTATTGTCATGTATCTACATATGCACATGTACATACAAACGCAGTCGGATGAGTCTGTTTAGTGTTACTCATACATGGATGTCTTAGAGCTAATCAGTTAGGACTGAATAACATCAGGAACTCATCCCTGGAGACTGGTTTTGCCCCTCTCAGCAGCCATTTTTTCCTACAGCTCTTCACTGGGGTCTTGTGAGATTTCTGCCACCCACGTTGGCATGTTGGCTAGTGTTGTCATTGTTTAGGTCTTGTTTAGGTGACCATAGAGTAATTTCATGGTTGCAGCTTTTCTGTCACATATGGAAAACATCGTCTTGGACCAAATGTCCTGATCTTCTGGCTCTTGCAGTATTTTTGGCCCAAGTACATGGCCTTTGGTATAGGAGTTTTATTGTAAATGTATTAATTGGGGTTAAGAACCCACAATTTTTTTCTGTATTTTAAGCAGTTGTGAGTTTCTGTAATGAAGTGTATTCATTGCAAAATGAAGCTTCTTTGATGAGAGATAGAAGCTAGTCTTACCTGTGAGTATAAACAGAAGTATTTAGAAGCAGCTACACATTTATATTGGTTCAGGAAAATGGCAGAAGAAGGTACTTCTCCTGAGTCTACAACACCTGGGAATATCTTGCCAGACCGGTAATTGTTGTGGTTTATAGGTTTTACATATGGGTAGGACTATTGATTGATTTTCTTCATGGCAACTTCATCTAACCTCTGATACTATAAGAGCTAGTCCTTAAGAGAGAATCATATAGATCAGTTTCAACTCAATTCCTCCTAGTCCTGTGTCCAAGTATGTGGTATCTTCAGCAACAGGGTATGTTCTAGGAGGGAACCAAGGGTAACAACAATAACCTGCATTGCACCTGATATGTCCCTTGATCAACAGCTCACAGAGACATTGCTATGCTGAGCACTGGGTATTTTTACATAAGCTTTGATTCTTGGGAAAGCATTATTAGTGCAATTAGTAAAAATTTAACATATATACAATATATATATACACACACAGTATATAGTACATGTACAAACACACATAGCATATATATGTGCACACACGTATGTAATCTAAATTTATGCATATATATACACACATATATAATATATGTGTGTAAACATACAGCATATGAAATCAGAAAATAAAATTAAAATTGATAGTTTGGAAAGAATGCCATTTGAACAGCCTTATAGGGTTTATATGATTATGATATTAATATCAGTAAATATCCTAAAATCATTGTGCTCTTTTTTGCAGTTTGATATGGAGTTTAATTTTCCTTTGAGTACAAGCTTCTATGTTTATGTTTAACAAGTAATCAACATAATCTAACATTTAAGAGGTCAAAGCTCTTTAGATTTTCAAACTTTGATCATTTTCATCAATGATTAAAGACTGATTTTGCAAATAAAAGTATTCATCATATGAGAATATTGTCTGGAATCAACAGGTTATATTTACTGATCTATACTTATGTGCAAATATACACATGAATGAAATAGCTATTAATGAAAACAAAAGGCCATGAATAGGAAGGAGAAGCAGAGGTGTATATGAGAGAGCTTATAGGGAGAAAAGGGAAGTAGAAATGTTTTATTTAAATATCAATCTCAAAAATAAACAAGATATCATTGGTTAGATATCAAAGAGCAAAATTTAATTTGGAACCTCTTATTTTTGCTGCCATCTATGGAAACTATTCCATTTCTATTCCCACTTGTGGGTGTTTTCAAATATCCTATGCTCTCAGTTTTTCTCCTTAACTTAAAATTTAACAATCTAAAACAATTATGTCTTAATTTATCTCCTGGAAAATTGGTCTCTAAAGCATTTAGATAAAACTCATGTTCACACAGATGACTGTAGTTAAAGTCAGTGGGTCTCAAACTGAAACCAAAGGACATGAATGTGGGAATGGGCCGTGGGAGAGGAAAGGAAGTGAGCAGGAGCGGGAGGCAGAGAGAACTGTGAGGTCTTACTTCAGTCAGAATTCAGTATATGCATGTAGAAAGCTGTCAAAATTGTTTTCATTAGTTATTAAAATATTGAAAATTTAATAATCAAGTTTGCATTGCTTATAAATAGCTATAGCAAACTAACCTCATAAATTAAATGCAAAATAGTTTATATGTTTGACATTTTTTTCTTTCAAATGATTTAGTTGTCATTTCCACAATAGATTTATTTATTTTTTTATATAATTTCTAAATTCTGTGTAATACCGCCTATCTGTACTTTGAGTAATGATTTTTAACATTTTTTTCAAGTTTGACTTGACCTCTGCCAAATGTAGAAAACTTCTATTATCAGCCTCATAGACATCCCCAATCATCTTCTCACCACCTTAGCTTTGCCAAACACAAATGATATACATGGTATGTTCAAAAGCTTGCCACTTCTTCTTGTAGTTGATTCTTTTATTTTGCTTATCTATCTATCTATCTATCTATCTATCTATCTATCTATCTATCTAT